TACACAGCAATGAGAAAGAATGAAATCTGGCCATGTGTAGCAACATGGATGGACCTTGAGGGTGTTATGCTGAATGAAAGAAGTCAGGCAGAGAAGGACAAATACCATATGTTTGCACGTATAGGAGGATTAGGAGGAACTTAACGGAGGACCGTGGGGGAGAAGAAAGGGGGAAATAGTAGGGAAGAGGAGAGAGGCAAACCATGAGAGACTCTTGAATGCTGAGAACAAACTGAGGACTGATGGGTGGGGGAGAGGGGGGTGATGGGCATGGAGGAGGGCACTTGTTGGGATAAGCACTGGGTGTTATATGGAAACCAACGTGACAGTAAACTATGTGTAAAATAATAAAAATAAAAAATAAAAAGAAACCCACATGAAATTTAAAAAAATCAGTGGGCTGATATATTAAAAGTTCTGGAAGAAAATAACTGCCTGTCAAACAGCCTGTATCTGGCAATCCTTCAAAAGTGAGGGATGAATTAACACATTCCAAGATCATTAAAAGCTGATGCACTTTGTTATGCATGTGTCCTGTAAGAAGTGCACGAGTGACTACTACAAGGTGAAATGAAAAAACAATACACAGTAACTAAAAGCAGCATAGAAAAATAGCTCAATAAAAACATAGCTAAGTATATCAGGGGTGCCTGGTGGCTCAGTCGGTTAAGCGTGTGACTTCGGCTCAGGTCCTGATCTCACGGTTCGTGGGTTCGAGCCCTGAGTTGGGCTCTCTGCTGACAGCTCAGAGCCTGGAGCCTGCTTCTGATTCTGTGTCTCCGTCTCTCTCTGACCCTCCCCTGCTCATGCTCTGTCTCTCTGTCTCTCTCTCTCAGAAATAAGTAAAACATTAAAAAAAAACCCACATAGCTAAGTATAAAAGAATTATTGTAACAACGTTCATCACTACACTTTTTGTTTGCTGTATGATGAGACTACCACATTTAAAGAAACAAAGGGCAAACATTATTGCAAAGCCTATTACCAGTACAACTGTATTTTTAACTAAATCTTGTCTACAAGTTTCAAAATAGAACACATTTAAAAGAATTAGTTTACGTTTGAAGACAATGCATAAAGATATATTACTCCCATGGTATCCACAAAGAAAACAGGTATAGAGTATACAAAGAAGGAAATGAGAAAGGAACTTATTAGTTAGCCATTTCATTATGAAAAAATCTACTAAACACAAATAGAGAGAAATGCAAGAAATGAAATACAAAAAATGTATAAGGCAAATACAAGACTTAGAAGATTATGGAAAAAGTAATCGTCCTTAACAGTGCTTTAAATGTAAATGGCTTATTTGGGGATGAGCACTGAGTGTTATGTAGAAACTAATTTGACAATAAACTATTTGTAAAAAAAAAAAAAAAAAATGTAAATGGTTTAAACTCTCCGATGAAATCAAAGAGGCTGCCAGATGGATTAAACAAAACAAAACAAAAACATAAGGTCTAACTATATGCTGTCTACCAAAAGTTTACTTTAAATGGAAAATCACAAATGAGTTGGCTGAAAAAGTATGCACAAAGATACAGCAGGCAAACAGTACTGAAACAAGAAACAGGGAGGAATATACTGATTAAGTACACTACCTATACTTCAGATCATAAAGGTTATAACAAGGGGTCCTGGGTGGCTCAGTTGGTTACACATCCAGCTCAGCTCAGGTCATGATTTCATGGTTTGTGGCTTTGAGCGCTGCATTGGGCACTGCACTGACAGCTGGGAGTTTGGAGCCTGGAGCCTGCTTCAGATTCTGTGCCTCCTTCTCTCTCTGCCCCTCCTCCTGCTTTCTCTCTCTCTCTCTCAAAAATAAATAAAACATTTTTAAAAAGGTTATAACAAGATATATTTAATAAAAGACTTAATACAGTAAGACCTTATAAAACAGTTATACATCTAATGACAGAACATCAAAATATATGAAACAAAAACTAACAAAATTGAAGGGAGAGACAGAACCACAATACTTAGATATGTCATCTTTTTTTTTCTTTTTTTAAGTAAGCTCCATGCGGAACTTGAACTCACAACCCAGAGATCAACTCCTGAGCTGAGATCAAGAGTCAGATGCTTAAGGGGCACCTGGGTGGCTCAGTCGGCTGAGCGTCCAACTTTGGCTCAGGTCATGATCTCGCGGTTTGTGGGCTCGAGCCCGCATCGGGTTCTGTGCAGGCAGCTCAGAGCCTGGAGCCTGTTTCAGATTCTGCGTCTCCCTCTCTTTCTGCCCCTCCCTTGCTCATGCTCTGTCTCTCTCTGTTTCAAAAATAAACAAAAACTATAATTAAAAAATAAAATTAAAAAAGAGTCAGGTGCTTAAATGACTGAGCCACCCAGGTGCCACAATACTTAAGATACTACATGGGTGAGGTTAATACTGTAGGTTGGCCTCATCTAATGCTTGGACTCATAGTAATGGCATTAATAAATAGTGGACAGGATAAATCAGACGTGCTCCTAATCTCTTATCAGCAGGTACAAAGTGGTATATTGAAGTGAAAAAGCAAATTGCACAGCTGGGATGAAATGGAACAAAATCCTAAATTCACAAAACTGACCAATACTAAATGACAAAAAGAAGAAAAAACAGAATTTCTTAAGAAAAAAAAAAAGAATACTACTAATACTAATCATGAAGAAAAAAATTGAAAAGACCTATAATGAGCAAGGAGACTGAGTCCAAAATCAAAAATCTCCTCCCTCCCTCCAAAAAGCCCTGGATGACTACACTGAAATAAAAGGCTTTTGTAAAGCAAAGAAAACCATGAACAAAACCAAAAGACACCATAGTGAAGGGGAGAAGATAATTGTAAACAGCATACCCAGTAATGAGTTAATATCCAAGATACATAAAGAAATTCTACAACTAAACACCAAAAAGCCATCCGAGCAGAGGACCTCAATGTACATTTTTAACAAAAAAAAGACAGATGGACAAAACACAGGAAAGGGTCTACATCATTGTCAGGGAACTGTAGACCTAAAAACAAAAAGACTTGAGGACCTTTTTGTCTTAGAGGGCAAATATAGGAGAGACCTTCCTTATGTATTGAAAGTACAATGCATAAACTATTCTAACTCCCATGCAGAATAATACAGATTAACAAAATACCTATGCACTTAGTAAAAAGGAAATACACCAATTTCCATTAAAAATTTCAAGTAATGCGGCAACTGGCTGGCTCATTCAGTAGAACACACCACTCTTGATCTTGGAGTTGTGAATTTGGGTCCCACATTGGGCATCAATGTTACTTTTTAAAAGTTCAAGTAATGACACAGTAAGAATAATATAGACCATCATGACTAATTATTTCTGAAAGATTATTCCAAATTACCAGTAAATAGGATAATTCAGGCTAAAAAGAAAATTGATTACGCCAAAACTGAGTATTCTGTAATTATAAGATTGATTCGACATTGGAAAATTAATGAATCCCACTTAAAAATATACCATTATATGCAAATCTAAGCAATGACAGAAATGGCATTATAGAGATGAAAAGAAAGATGGTCTTTTAAATAAATGGTCCTGGTAAATTTTATATCCATGACAGATGGTGAGACTGCATGTCTCACTCGTCTTTTCACAGACGAGTCTACTACAGATGGAATAAATAAAATAAGAGGTAGTGGGATATGTATAAACCACAAGATTAAAGAATACCTGGATACAGGAGAACATTTGGATAAATTTTGCTCTAACAAGATTAAGACTTCCTTTTCATTAAGAAAACATGAAAAATGAAGACTTTGGCACTTTTTCACTTCAATATACCACTTTGTACCTGCTGATAAGAGATTAGGAGCACGTCTGATTTATCTTGTCCACTATTAATGCCATTACTATGAGTCCAAGCATTAGATGAGGCCAACCTACAGTACTAACCTCACCTACAGTACTAACCTCCATGTAGCTCAAGGACTCAGTCTCATTCTACCGTGAACAAGATCTGGTAGGACATGTAGGTTTGCAGATAATCAGTGATGTCACCTGAGTCAAGTGTATACACTGCAACACACACAAAACTGTGAAGACCACACTCATACCCAAGAGAATCACATTGCAACCCAGTCTCATCCAGACACAACCACAAATGTACTCAGGTCACTTATGATCAGGACTTAGCATTAGGCTTGATCTGGAATGCTCTACCCTGGTTCCATTAAGCCTCACAGGAAGTGACGTTAAGCAGCTGCAGCCTCCAGGGCCAACCACAGCATAACCAAAGGCTGCTCAAGTTCCACAAGTATAATGAATGTGTTAACACAAAAGAAACCAGGTTGTGATGGTTTGTGTCTCTATGAAAAGGCCACTTTCAAGAACTGCCAGTGATGGCATCAAGTACATCGGGATATCAGGACCTGCCATATTTATGAGATTTTGTATTTCACAGCATATGAGAGAAAGAGAAACTAACCGGAAAGACACTTGCCGGGTGCAGCTGTTCCCAAACACAAACATAATTGTTCTTCTAGGATGTGGGGGCTGAAGAAAAAAGAGAACATTTCTACTTTCTGTGGACTTTTCCACATTCCTCAGATTCATTCAGTATCCCTCCAATACGGCCTCTTTCATGTTTTTGAAATGAACTGGGAAAACTGAGGCTGTCCCACGTTTATTACGTAAGTCTTCTATCCATTGTGCATTTTTTAGGTGTTTTAGTCATGACAACAATGTGAAAGCTTTATCATTCTTTACGTTCACAGTGTTTCTCTCTGGTGTCAATTTTTACCAGAGTTAGGCTTTACTGAGTTAGGCTTGAGAAAACAGTGAAGGCCTTCCATAGTGTGTACATTCAAAGGACTTCTTTCCAGTGGGACTTCAAATGTGTATTTACAGATGTGTAAGTGGTGCAGGCTTTCCAACATTCCATACCTCATCGGGCTTCTCTTTAGTGCAAATACTTAAATGTCGAATCATGTGAAGCGGTGAAGACTTTCTCGCAATCTTTAGATTCATCAGGGGCTTCTCTAGTGTGATTTCTCAAATGGAATTTCCCACATTCACCACTTCCTAGGTCTTCTATCCATTATGAGTTCGTAAATGTTTTTTAAGGAATGAGGGCCAAGCAAAAGCTTTTCCACATTCCTTACATTGATAGGGTTTTACTCCAGTGTGAATTGTTAAATGTCCAATTAAGCTTGAGGAAAGATGGAAGGATTTCCCACATTCCTTGCATTCATAGGGTTTTTCTCCAGTGTGGATTCTCAAATGTTCGTTAAGTCGTGAGGAATAAGTGAAGGCTTTCCCACATTCCTTACATTTATACGGCCTCTCTCCAGTGTGAATTCTCAAATGTGCTTTAAGAATTGAGGAACTACTGAGGGCTTTCCCACATTCCTTACATTTATAGGGCTTCTCACCACTGTGAGTGTGAACATGTCTGCGAAAGGCTGAGATCCAAGCGAAGCATTTCCCACATTCCTGACATTCAAAGGGCTTCTCTCCAGTGTGAATTCTCAAATGATGATGAAGATATGAGGAGCTGCTGAAGGCTTTCCCACATATCATACATTTATAAGGCTTCTCACCAGTGTGAGTTTGAACATGATTACGAAGCGTTGAAGGCCACCGGAAGTGTTTCCCACATTCTTTACATCCATAGGGCTTCTCTCCAGTGTGAATCATAAAATGTACATAAAGGTGTGAGGAAGTGTAGAAAGATTTTCCACATTCACTACATACAAATGGTTTTATTCCAGCGTGAAATCGAGTGATGTGTTCATTGAGCTGTTTCATATTTGCATAGCATTTTCCACATTCCCTACATTCATAGGGTTCTCTAACAGTGTGCATTTGCGTATACATAGGATAACCCGCTGAGGGAACTGAAATCCTTGAAAATGGAAGCATCCATTCATTGAGATATCCTCCACTGTACATTCTCCCGTGTGCCTGAAAGTGGGAATGACTAATGAACATCTTCCCACAGTCCGCATTTTCAAAAGACTTCTCTGCCAGACTGGTTCTCTCATACACATTATGTGGAGTCAGGTTGAAGACGCTGCCACACTGATTCAATTCAGAAAGCTGCTCTCTCAGAGAGCTTCCCTTTTGCAGAGTATGGAAGCTGTTGGCATACTGACTGTGCTCAAAAGTGTTCTCTGTATTTTCAGTTCTCATGTGTGTGTTAAGGAATAGGTGTTGGCTTAAGACTTTCCCACTTTGCTCACAGTCAGAGAGCTCTGCTCCCTGGTGGGTCCTCTCCTGTGGATAAATGGATGAAAGCTGATGATAGGATTTTCAGATCCATTATAGATTTCATCCTTCTAAAGCTAAAAACATTATGATGATGACTCTTCCCATTTTCATTACATAAACACAGCTCCTGCTGACAGCTTTCAAGTTAAATGAGGGAACGCCTCTGACAAAAACTGATGCCATCTACTCTGCTCTTACAAACATTCCATCAAAATTACAGGAAAACGTTTAGACTCATTACCTCATATATGTAGGAACTTGTACTTGTGGTATCAGGGAAGCAACAATTTCCAAGACAGATTTGGGTTATCCTCCCCAAATCATAATCAGAGTATCTCTGAATTGCTTTCTCTTGGATGAATGCCATTTGTCTCAAATATCTCCTACTTGCACTGAATTTATAACAAAACTACCAATCTTTTTTTGAATGTGGAAAAATAGGAAAATCACAACTCAATCTTACTTTTTGAATTTCTCTGGCTGTTTTTCCTTCCCAAAAATCCTGGAGAGATGGTGACTCTTTGCTTTGATGTTGAGTTTTCCATTCTAAAGTAAAATAAATGTTAAGCATTTGCAGAAACAAATCGCAGGTTAAACAATTTTTTAAAAAGATAAGACTTGGTTTTCTTTACTTTCATATTAAAAATGGTGAAAAGGGGGGCATGTGAGTATATAGTCAGTTAAACATCTGATTCTTGATTTTGGCTCAGGTCAGGATCTCACGGCTGTCAGATTGAGCCCCACATCAGGCTCCATGCCAACAGCTGGAGCCTGCTTGGGATGATCTCGCTCTCTCAAAAAAAAAAAAATAAGCATTAAAAAAATGATAATAAAATAATAAAGAAAAAAAGATTTCAGCAGTTTGTTTATGGGAAAAATTTAGCACTAAGTGCAGACAGTCAAACTTTGGTGGTTTACTATAAAACAATTTTTGGAAAATTAAGTATAGTGAGCAGTAACAGACTATTATCAAGGTAGAAAAGTGGGAAACATCTAAACAACTAAGACCCACCAAAATGATAAACTTGAAGAAACATAACAGGTTATTTTGTGAATCATAGAAAGCTTAAGAGGGAAGGAAGCTGAAGATACCCAGAAACATCAGACACAAATGGCTTCAGCATTATGAGACAAAATGAATCTTAAGTTTTATACATTAAAGTTGCAAATATGCCATATTTCAAACTGAGTAGTGACATTCTTCTCATTCACCAGTGATATCTGTCACAACACTCACCTTGGAAAACATCTTTCTCCACTGTTCTCAACTCTTCTTGTTCCAACCTAGCTACTAGCCTGGGTTTCGACTGTTGATATCCTGTCCATGAGGAAAGGTACATTAATAGAAGAGGACTGTGCAAGAAATGACAAAGCTCTTGGTCAACCAGGAAATATATTTCTAATGAAAACAGTAAAATCAGTTCAAAAGGTCTAGAAAAGCAAATCAAAAGATTACTGATCTCTGACTCTGAAAACCTAACCCAAAGGTATGTACACATTTACTGAGCACATAGATGTTTATTCAAACAGTAAATAAAGGAGATGAAGAAAGGAGACCTTCCTTTTGATGGGGAAATCACTAGTGCGGTAGTCTCAAATGTTAGAGTGCGTTGCAATCGTCAGGATGGCTTATTGAACACAGATGTGGCAACAACCCCGGCTTTATCATTCAGAATGTCAAAAGTGGGGTCTGATTTGGGGCGCCTGGGTGGCTCAGTCGGTTAAGCATCCACCTTCAGCTCAGGTCACAATTTTGTGGTGTAGGAGTTCAAGCCCTGCATTGGGTTCTGTACTAACAGCTGACAGCCTGGAGCCTACTTCAGATTCTGTGTCTCCCTCCCTCTGCCCCTCACCCACTTGTGCTGTGTGTGTTTCTCAAAATAAACAAACATTAAAAAATATATATGGTTAAAAAAAAAAAGTAGGGTCTGACAATGTAAATTCCTAACAATGATGATGTTACTGTGGACCCTAGGGCCACATTTCCAGAAAACCCACTGCAGATTACAACCCATTAGTGCAGGGACTATGCAGCTCTTATTCCCAATTATGTTTTAGATTAGGCACCACCAAGGCTGGAAACACATAAAGTATATGATCCATGTCAGGAATGGTGGCAGCCTCACCTACTGTGACCAGGTTCTGGTAGTTCTCCAGCATCACGCTTCTGTACAGGTTTCTCTGAGCGAGGTCCAGTAACATCCACTCCTCCTGGGTGAAGTCCACTGCCACATCGTCAAAGGTCACTGCAATCTAAACCATCACACCCGTGTTGGCTTGGGACAAGAAACATCCCCACCAACGTTCACGGGGGAATGAGGACGGGAGACTCACTACCGACACGGGGTCATGAGGTTTCTCATCCATCCTCCCACGGTTCTGTGGCTCTAGGTTACTGTTCTCTGAATCTAGACTCACTCAGGGCTCCTCTCCACTCCTATGGTTTTCATGTCACCTTTTATTTTTATTTATTTATTTACTTTTTACAAATAGTTTATTGTCAAGTTGGTTTCCATATAACACCCAGTGCTCATCCCCACAAGTGCTTGTCACCTTTTAAACAAGACCTTATGCGGCATGACCAGAGTAGTAGGTGTTCGCGGTTTCCTCTATCACACACTCTAGCACACTACAGATCCTTCATAAACAGCACAGAATGACTGACTTTTTTGAGAAAAGCACACAGCAAGGTGAAAGCCTGCATTTATAATCCATGAACTTCAGGAGTGATTACTGAAATACTGAGACTATTTTCAGGGTAATAGTTTCCACTTCCAGAGCAAAGTCAACTGGGGATTCAGTCCTTGTCTGGGGTTTATTTGCTTTAGGAAGCTCAGGACACAGTTGTGCCTAGAAGGAATGTGTCCACCCAGTGGATGTAAGTATGGCATTCTATTGACTGACACACTTTTTTATTACCTGATTATAATTTTTCGGCCAGACAGCCACCATCCTTTTTACCTCTGTGTTTTCCTCAGGATGGGAGAATGGATTCCTAGAAAGAACACCTTGGGGAAAGGAAAGGATACTTCAGAATACAGAATGGCCCTATTTCCCAGAATCACCCACCTGAAAATCATCCCATCCTATTTTAAGATTCCCATATATCCCTGCACAAGAAATCTCACAGAAATACACACTACTGCCATAAAACGCCACAGAAGCCCTGCCTGACCTGGAGCCAGAAAAGGGACTTGCTAGACATGCTACCTATGAGGTCATGGTCTTATTTTATAGGTATGGAAAATTAACCCCTAAAACATTTGGTTCTTTATTTGCCCAAAATAATAAAACTCATTAATGAGATAATGTAGCACCAATTCCCAACACACACACACCAGGAAGCTGACTTAGATAACAGCATTTTCTGGCATATTTCAGCTCTTTCTGAAAGAACCAGCAGTATGACTTATTTAGGACCATGTTGTTGGATCAATGTTGTGTGGGAGCGACTTTTAAGAGTTCTCTGGAGGGGTGCCTGGGTGGCTTAGTCGGTTGGGCGTCCGGCTTTCGCTTAGGTCATGATCTCGCGGTTCGTGGGTTCGGGCCCCACGTCGGGCTCTGTGCTGACTGCCGGCTCGGAGCCTGGAGCCTGTTTCAGTCTGTGACTCCCTCTCTCTCTGACCCTCCCCTGCTCACGCTGTCTCTCTCTCTCTCCTGGAAATGAATAGAGATATTTAAAAAAAAAAAAAAAAAAAGAGTTCTCTGGAAATGAGAATCAACAATGACTTACCATGGGTCAAGTCAATGCCTGCCATCTTGGGAGAGTGACGGTGAAGTCTACCTACTGGGAAATTTGATCACTTTAATACAACTTAGCAATGTAGGTGAATATGGCAATCTTTGTTATTCTTGACATAGGAATGCCCAGAGTCCTTTTCATACCAGTCATTAATCAGCAAGCATTACCAATCCATCATCATACATTACCTCTCTCTCTGGAGGCAATGTGTGGGAAATTCACTAAAAAAGGTATAATCTATGGCATGAAAGTCACTAACATAAATTATCATTCACTGAAAATCAATTATGTGACAGGTATCTGTCTCACTAGCTTTATATATATCAGCTCACTTAATTAGTGTAACAGCCCATTTCAATAGAGATATCACTAGCCCTACTTAATAGCTGATAAAGCTAGATTCACAAAACACTAATCATTGGTCCACCCCCTCCAATTAGGAAAAAGAGATCCAGAATTGAATGCAAATAGGATTGTCTCAAATGTTTGATCTCCTGAGGTTATTCCCAAATATGATCAGATGTCAATCTAGACCTGCACTGTCTAATTTAGTAGCCATCAGCCACATATGCTGTTGAGTATCTGATATGCAGTTTGTAAAACAGGATTTTAAAATACATCTACATTCTCAACTGTATTTATTACATGCATATACTAATACCAAGTACATGTCATGAAAATTTATGTTCAATGAATTTTAAAATCTTACTATGGCTTGAAGAATTTAAAATACTTTAATTTTAGCGGTGCCTGAGTGGCTCAGTCAGTTAAGTATCCTACTTTTGATTTCAGCTCAGGTCATGAGCTCACAGTTCATTGGTTCAAGCCCCACATCAGGCTCTACACTGACAGCCCAGAGCCCTCCCCAACTTTTGCATGCACGCTCTCTAATAAACAAACTTAAAAAAATTAGTGACTCTTCAATAAATTTAACACGGAACAGCTGCCCAAATGCTGATATACAATACTGCATCCAAACGATGGCAAACACTAGGAGTTCCAGTCTCTTTACCATAAATGAAATTAATCCTCATGACCCAAAAATGTTTTTTTCCCAAGGATTTCTTATTCTACAAATGAAAAAGACCAGAACCCTGAAAATAACAAGCTATCACAAACACTGCATCTCAAATGCTAGTATAGACTGCACTTACTCCTAGAAGTCTTAAAATAGGGCCTTTGGACTGAACAGGCCCACAAATGTGTTTACTTTTTGGATACCCACACAAACATTTTTCCATTTGGTTTTGTCTCCTTTTTTAATGGAGATGTAACCGCTATGCAATCAAAAATGTAGATCTTAGGTATTTTCAGGATGAGCTCTGACAACTGTAGTTACTCATGTTATCAGTCTTAAAAAAATAGAGAATGGATAGCATATCGAACTTCTAAAAAAACAGACAACATATTTGTCTCCCTGAAAAGCCATCTTCAGCCTTCTAGTTCACTCCCTCCCCCTAATTCCAGACAATCTGTTTCTACTAGTTCCTAGATAGGTTACTCAGTTTGTACATTTATAAACATAATATGCTTACTTTTTTCCATTTAAAGAAACAGCAAGGGAAAAAACATTCTTAACTCTCCCAGTGAAGTTTGGACTTGTCCATTTCTTCTTGTATTTCTGTCAAGCATTAGTTTATCTTGTGTAACATTGTTATTGGATAGGTACAAATTCTGAAATCGTATCATGTTAGAGATATTGAATCTTCTATTATAAAGGACTCTGTGTAGTAATGATTAATGACAATGTTGTCTGACATGGAGATACATTTTCTTTTGGAGAGCTCTTTGGGTATCAAAGATGCTCTTTATTTTCCAGTATGTGACATAGGGCCTGGTGCCAGGTGATTGATGACTGACAGACCAAGACCACAAAGTCCCTATGTCACTCAAAGCACATCTAACTAGGGACACCTGGCGGGCTCAGTCAGTAGAGCATGCAACTCCAGATCACAGGTCATGAACTCAAGCCCCATGGTAGGTGCAGAGGCTTATTTAAGAAAAAAAAAATTTTTTTAATTTATAAAAACCAAAGTACATCTATCTAGATTACATTGAATTAACAGTCCCTAACAAAATATATATCCCAGATTTCAGGAAATGTAGTTAAGTACTCTAGGAATACAAGTGTGTGGGAATTTCACACTTCTGAGCACTCACCCACCAGCCAAAGCCCGCCTGTAAATTTCTTCCCCACGGACCCCTAACATGGATACATGGTGCTGTTTCTTATACCTGTTGTCACTCATGGTTCCCTCCACTCATTTGCCCACCAATCATGGCTTGACTATAATCCAGACTACCTTTGCCCAGGCAACCCAGCAAACTTTACAACCAGTGGACTGCAAACCTACTGCTGATAAGGTCTGACCCAGTCTTGGTGGGTGAAGGGCCCTGTACAAATGTGACCTTCCTGGGGCGCCTGGGTGGCTTAGTCGGTTAAGCGTCCAACTTTCGCTTAGGTCATGGTCTCGCGGTTCGTGGGTTCGAGCCCCGCGTCGGGCTCTGTGCTGATTGCTGGCTCAGAGCCTGGAGCCTGTTTCAGTCTGTGACTCCCTCTCTCTCTGACCCTCCCCTGCTCACGCTGTCTCTATCTCTCCTAGAAATAAATAAAACATTTTTTAAAAAATGTGACCTTCCCTATTACTCTCCATCATCTCTGTAGGGTCTGTGAGAGTGTTGTCTGCATCTTTGTTACTCTTCCAGCATATATCAAACAATCAAGGACAGGGGCCCCTGGGTGGATCAGTCGGTTAAGCATTTGACTCTTGCTTTCAGCTCAGGTCATGATCTCGTAGTTTTGTGAGTTCAAACTCTTTATAGGGCTCTGCAATGGTAGCACAGTAATGTTTTAAAAAATTTTAACTCCAGGGGTGCCTGGGTGGCTCAACTGGGTAAGCGTCCAACTTCAGCTCAGGTCATGATCTCGTAGTTTTGTGAGTTCAAACTCTTTATAGGGCTCTGCAATGGTAGCACAGTAATGTTTTAAAAAATTTTAACTCCAGGGGTGCCTGGGTGGCTCAACTGGGTAAGCGTCCAACTTCAGCTCAGGTCATGATCTCAGTCTGTGGGTTTGAGCCCTGCGCCCGGCTCTGTGCTGACAGCTCAGAGCCCAGGGGCCTGCTTCAGATTTTGTCTCCCTTTCTTTCTGCCCCTCCCCTCTTGGCACTCTCTCTTTCTCTCAAAAAAAATAAAAATAAAAAAATTTTTAAATAAAGAAATAAAGTCTTAATGCCAATGAACTCAGATTAAACCCAGCTGCAGCAAGCTACCACTCTGTGGTTCTTTCTTTCCCCAGCATCTAAATGTATAATTGCAATATAGACATTCTTGGCACCTGGCAGAATCCCCTTATCTCTGACCCGTAGGGTAAGGACCATTATGGTAGGAAGAGTTAAAAGGAGGGTCCTGGAATTCCCACCACTGGACCTAATTATCCAGGAATAATACCGACACTGCTGGAGGAACTGCAAAGATTAATGCCAAAATCCACTTTGCCCAAGGACTGGGAAATAGGGATTGGCTTTGAAGAAATAAACCACAGACGTCAACAATCACAAGACCAACTCCAGAAACCTAAACTAAACCTAAACTGTACTGGGTTGACATGTTTTGTCTATGCTTGTATTTATCTGCACGTTTATTTGCATAAACTAGGCTTTCACTTCTGCTATGTCCTTTCAGTTTTTGATTAATATACAAGTTATTACAGGGTAACATTACAATTTAGCTTTTAGGTAAATAATTTCCACGAGACCATGACTAAATTTGAGGAGTACTTTACAAATAGACTGTGATGGAGAGCAAATGACACTTGACGTACATTTAAAACGCCCTTAGGCAATAATAATTTGAGGTACACACCACCCCCAAAATAGTCTCTGACAGATATTTTGAAGCCTCTGAAACTGAAGTTGGGAAACTAAAACTGACAGGCCTGTTTCTGCAAATGAAGTTTTATTAGATAAAACCACACCCATTTGTTTAGTAAGGGCTATAGTTGCTTGTGCATCTACAAAGGCAGAGCTGAGGAATTCCAGGCTCTGTGGCCAGCACAGCGGAATACACTTGCTGAGAGAGGACTTCAGCCATCCCCACTTTAACCTCAAACTTTCTGATGGTCTTCTTTCCAGCTTCTCTCTGAACTCAGACAAAAAGACCATGTGGGGAAATGATCTTCTGATGGGAACCTAAACTGCCCCCTTCAGCA